TAAGAGGTAAAATGCTTAATTATTTATTACCCCCCAAAAAGGGTAAAGCAGCAACATATTTCAAGAGTACAACCTTTCTTTGTGAGATTGTGCCTTCAAAGCAGAATGCACTTTTACTTTTGTGGGAATTAATAAACAACTAACTGACCTTGTGTACACTGAATTCCTGACCAGGCTGTTTCCTTCCAGAAATAAACAAACAACCTGGCTGGACTTTAATTATATCAGCCTTCACACAAATCACAAGGAAGCCCAACCAGATCAAGACTCGCTCTGATTCGTTTCATCCAGGGAGGGATTAATCATGGACATAACATTTCAGAGTGAGGCTTGGTGTGGGTGGACTTCCTTGTGACTAAGAATGATTTTGTGTTTGTTGCAACCAGGTTCAAACCCAGAAGCCAGATGTCACTCTTCGTCCATGAACCTGACATGGCCATGTGATCATATTAGGTAAATGATGTCACAAGCATTCCTGCCCCTTTGTAATGGTAGGTTTGGTGTGGGGAATCCCTTAGTCATAGCTCACTGGAGAATTACAGCTGGCTTCTGGGTTTGGTTCTGAACCCAGTTCAAAGCAAACATAAGCACATCCCTATTTGTGATCTTGTCTTGTAACTAGAGATGAGCGAATTATTCAAAAATTCGATTCGACTGATTCGGCGAATTCGTGAAAAAATTCCGATTCGAGTCGAATATATTCGCTGCGAATTTAACTTATAAAAGGGTGTTTCTAGGCTTCAGAGAGCCTTTATATTAGTGCAGAACACTGTACCTTTAATTTAAATGCCCATGGAGTCTGCTGGGGAAGAGAAATAATACTATCAGTCAGTATGACATGCAGATGAGTGCCGTCAATCTTAGAATCACCGCACACTTCACTCATTTGGGCAGTCACAGGGCCAAAACCAGAGTGTGGAGCCACAGTGTGGCGGTGGAGGCAGCAGCAATGGGAGGCCATACAGCACCCTATGACAAAATGGAACCCACCAGCAGTGTGAGGAGACCTGAAAGTGGCACATGGCAGAGTGTGGCGATGGAGACAGCAGCAATGGGAGGCCGTACAGGGACCCATGAGACACTCTGGACCTGGCAGCAGCATGAGGAGGCGGTACGTGGGCCCATGGCAGATTACGGGCCTGGCAGCAGCAATGGGAGGCCGTACAGGGACCCATGACACACTCTGGACCTGGCAGCAGCATGAGGAGGCGGTACAGGGGCCCATGACAGATTACGGGCCTGGCAGCAGCATGAGGAGTCGGTACGGGGGCCCATGACACACTCTGGACCTGGCAGCAGCATGAGGAGGCGGTACAGGGGCGCATGACAGATTACGAGCCTGGCAGCAGCAACTTGGACAGGAGGACGTTCAGCTTCTGCACCGTCGGGTGCGTGCTCGCAAACTGTTGTCTCTTGGAAACGGATTCCAAGAAAGACTGCTGACGGAATCCGTGAAGAGGAGTAGCAGGAGAAGGAGCATCTGAACGAGCGGAATATGCCAACAAGCGACAACAGGGGCCCATGACAGATTACGGGCCTGGCAGCAGCATGAGGAGTCGGTACGGGGGCCCATGGCAGATTACGGGCCTGGCAGCAGCAATGGGAGGCCATACAGCACCCTATGACAAAATGGAAACCCACCAGCAGTGTGAGGAGACCTGAAAGTGGCACATGGCAGAGTGTGGCGATGGAGACAGCAGCAATGGGAGGCGGTACAGGGACCCATGAGACACTGTGGACCTGGCAGCAGCATGAGGAGGCGGTACAGGGGCCCATGGCAGATTAAGGCCTGGCAGCAGCAATGGGAGGCCCGTAATCTGCCAGCACCCTATGACAAAATGGACCCCTGGGCTGGGGCAGGCAGAACCGCCCGTATCTTTATCACGGTTTTCCCAGGCCACCCGAATGGCGACGCTGCATATGCTGACGCAACGCTGTAGTCCCAACATGGGCCCCCTGGCCACGCTTGACTTTCTGGCCACATAGTCGACATACGGCTACGTTTACTTCCTCGGGAGCGCGGCTTGACGAAAAATTGCCACACCGCCGAGTAGGAAACTTTGCCCCCGCTACTCCTCACTGGCTGACTGCTACTTCCTCTGTGCACACCGGCACCACTACTGGCCGTGGTGTAGGCTGCAGAGTGGAGCTGGTGCTCAGCACTCCGTGGCCGTTTGCCTCCACTGACACTGCTGCGACCCTGCCTGGACTCCTGGCAGCAGCAATGGGGAGGAGGAGGCGGTACAGGGGCCCATGGCAGATTAGGGGCCTGGCAGCAGCTATGGAGGCCCGTAATCTGCCAGCACCCTATGACAAAAAATGGAACACACCAGCAGTGTGAGGAGACCTGAAAGTGGCACATGGCAGAGTGTGGCATGGAGACAGCAGCAATGGGAGGCCGTACAGGACCCATGGCAGCCTGGCAGCATGAGGAGGCGGTACAGGGGCCCATGGCAGATTAGGGGCCTGGCAGCAGCTATGGGAGGCCCGTAATCTGCCAGCACCCTATGACAAAAAATGGAACACACCAGCAGTGTGTGAAGAGACCTGAAAGTGGCACATGGCAGAGTGTGGCGATGGAGACAGCAGCAATGGGAGGCCGTACAGGGACCCATGAGAGACTCTGGACCTGGCAGCAGCATGAGGAGGCGGTACAGGGGCCCATGGCAGATTAGGGGCCTGGCAGCAGCTATGGGAGGCCCGTAATCTGCCAGCACCCTATGACAAAAAAATGGAACACACCAGCAGTGTGAGGAGACCTGAAAGTGGCACATGGCAGAGTGTGCACATGACAGCAGCAATGGGAGGCCGTACAGGGACCCATGAGACACTGGACCTGGCAGCAGCATGAGGAGGCGGTACAGGGGCCCATGGCAGATTAGGGGCCTGGCAGCAGCTATGGGAGGCCCGTAATCTGCCAGCACCCTATGACAAAAAATGGAACACACCAGCAGTGTGAGGAGACCTGAAAGTGGCACATGGCATGACACACTGTGGACCTGGCAGCAGCCATGAGGAGACCTGCGCAGCATGAGGAGGCGGTACAGGGGCCCATGGCAGATTAGGGGCCTGGCAGCAGCATGGGAGGCCCGTAATCTGCCAGCACCCCTATGACAAAAAATGGAACACACCAGCAGTGTGTGAGGAGACCTGAAAGTGGCACATGGCAGAGTGTGGCGATGGAGACAGCAGCAATGGGAGGCCGTACAGGGACCCATGAGAGACTCTGGACCTGGCAGCAGCATGAGGAGGCGGTACAGGGGCCCATGGCAGATTAGGGGCCTGGCAGCAGCTAATGGGAGGCCCGTAATCTGCCAGCACCCTATGACAAAAAATGGAACACACCAGCAGTGTGAGGAGACCTGAAAGTGGCACATGGCAGAGTGTGGCGATGGAGACAGCAGCAATGGGAGGCCGTACAGGGACCCATGAGAGACTCTGTGGACCTGGCAGCAGCATGAGGAGGCGGTACAGGGGCCCATGGCAGAGATTAGGGGCCTGGCAGCAGCAATGGGAGGCCCGTAATCTGCCAGCACCCTATGAAAAATGGAACACACCAGCAGTGTGAGGAGACCTGAAAGTGGCACATGGCAGAGTGTGGCGATGGAGACAGCAGCAATGGGAGGCCGTACAGGGACCCATGAGACACTGTGGACCTGGCAGCAGCATGAGGAGGCGGTACAGGGGCCCATGGCAGATTAGGGGCCTGGCAGCAGCAATGGGAGGCCCGTAATCTGCCAGCACCCTATGACAAAAAATGGAACACACCAGCAGTGTGAGGAGACCTGAAAGTGGCACATGGCAGAGTGTGGCATGGAGACAGCAGCAATGGAGGCCGTGGCAGGGACCCATGAGAGACTCTGGACCTGGCAGCAGCATGAGGAGGCGGTACAGGGGCCCATGGCAGATTAGGGGCCTGGCAGCAGCAATGGGAGGCCCGTAATCTGCCAGCACCCTATGACAAAAAATGGAACACACCAGCAGTGTGAGGAGACCTGAAAGTGGCACATGGCAGAGTGTGGCGATGGAGACAGCAGCAATGGGAGGCCGTACAGGGACCCATGAGAGACTCTGGACCTGGCAGCAGCATGAGGAGGCGGTACAGGGGCCCATGGCAGATTAGGGGCCTGGCAGCGCAATGGGAGGCCCGTAATCTGCCAGCACCCTATGACAAAAAATGGAACACACCAGCAGTGTGAGGAGACCTGAAAGTGGCACATGGCAGAGTGTGGCGATGGAGACAGCAGCAATGGGAGGCCGTACAGGGACCCATGAGACTCTGGACCTGGCAGCAGCATGAGGAGGCGGTACAGGGGCCCATGGCAGATTAGGGGCCTGGCAGCAGCAATGGGAGGCCCGTAATCTGCCAGCACCCTATGACAAAAAATGGAACACACCAGCAGTGTGAGGAGACCTGAAAGTGGCACATGGCAGAGTGTGGCGATGGAGACAGCAGCAATGGGAGGCCGTACAGGGACCCATGAGACACTGTGGACCTGGCAGCAGCATGAGGAGGCGGTACAGGGGCCCATGGCAGATTAGGGGCCTGGCAGCAGCAATGGGAGGCCCGTAATCTGCCAGCACCCTATGACAAAAAATGGCCACACACCAGCAGTGTGGAGACCTGAAAGTGGCACCTGAAAGTGGCACATGGGAGGCCGTACAGGGACCCATGAGAGACTGTGGACCTGGCAGCAGCATGAGGAGGCGGTACAGGGGCCCATGGCAGATTAGGGGCCTGGCAGCAGCTATGGGAGGCCCGTAATCTGCCAGCACCCTATGACAAAAAATGGAACACACCAGCAGTGTGTGAGGAGACCTGAAAGTGGCACATGGCAGAGTGTGGCGATGGAGAGACAGCAGCAATGGGAGGCCGTACAGGGACCCATGAGAGAGACACTGTGGACCTGGCAGCAGCATGAGGAGGCGGTACAGGGGCCCATGGCAGATTAGGGGCCTGGCAGCAGCAATGGGAGGCCCGTAATCTGCCAGCACCCTATGACAAAAAATGGAACACACCAGCAGTGTGAGGAGACCTGAAAGTGGCACATGGCATGACACACGATGGGACCTGGCAGCAGCATGGGAGGCCGTACAGGGGCCCATGAGCAGACCTGGCAGCAGCATGAGGGGGCCTGGCAGCAGCAATGGCAGCAGCAATGGGACCCGTAATCTGCCAGCACCCTATGACAAAAAATGGAACACACCAGCAGTGTGTGAGGAGACCTGAAAGTGGCACATGGCAGAGTGTGGCGATGGAGACAGCAGCAATGGGAGGCCGTACAGGGACCCATGAGACACTCTGGACCTGGCAGCAGCATGAGGAGGCGGTACAGGGGCCCATGGCAGATTACGGGCCTGGCAGCAGCAATGGGAGGCCCGTAATCTGCCAGCACCCTATGACAAAAAATGGAACACACCAGCAGTGTGAGGAGACCTGAAAGTGGCACATGGCAGAGTGTGGCGATGGAGACAGCAGCAATGGGAGGCCGTACAGGGACCCATGAGACACTGTGGGACCTGGCAGCAGCATGAGGAGGCGGTACAGGGGCCCATGGCAGATTAGGGGCCTGGCAGCAGCAATGGGAGGCCCGTAATCTGCCAGCACCCTATGACAAAAAATGGAACACACACCAGCAGTGTGAGGAGACCTGAAAGTGGCACATGGCATGACACACAAACAGCAATGGGAGGCCGTACAGGGACCCATGGACCTGGCAGCAGCATGAGGAGGCGGTACAGGGGCCCATGGCAGATTAGGGCCTGGCAGCAGCAGCTATGGGAGGCCCGTAATCTGCCAGCACCCTATGACAAAAAATGGAACACACCAGCAGTGTGTGAGGAGACCTGAAAGTGGCACATGGCAGAGTGTGGCGATGGAGACAGCAGCAATGGGGAGGCCGTACAGGGACCCATGAGACACTCTGGACCTGGCAGCAGCATGAGGCGGTACAGGGGCCCATGGCAGATTAGGGGCCTGGCAGCAGCAATGGGAGGCCCGTAATCTGCCAGCACCCTATGACAAAAAATGGAACACACCAGCAGTGTGAGGAGACCTGAAAGTGGCACATGGCAGAGTGTGGCGATGGAGACAGCAGCAATGGGAGGCCGTACAGGGACCCATGAGACACTCTGGACCTGGCAGCAGCATGAGGAGGCGGTACAGGGGCCCATGGCAGATTAGGGGCCTGGCAGCAGCAATGGGAGGCCCGTAATCTGCCAGCACCCTATGACAAAAAATGGAACACACCAGCAGTGTGAGGAGACCTGAAAGTGGCACATGTTTGGGGCATGATTCATGGCGGATTTAGTCAGTTGTGTCAGGAACTGGTGGTTTGAAATCCAGACTAATCCACGCCTGATTCATTTTCACAAACGTGAGTCTCTCCACACTTTGGGTGGACAGTCGTGTCCTCCTCCGCGGAGTTACAATACCTCCTGCCGCACTAAACACGCGCTCCGATGCCACGCTACTGGCCGGGCATGACAGCCTTTCAAGGGCAAATTCAGCTAGTTGGGGCCAAAGGTCAAGTTTCGTTGCCCAGTAGTCAAGGGGATTGTCTACCTCGGTTGGCAGGGTGCTGTCCAAGTAGGCCCAAGCCTGTTGTTTGAGGTCCTGCTCCAGGTCCACCTGATGCTGCTGCTGCTGCTGCGGCTGGTTAGTAGTTTCCTCACTGCGCTGGTGAAGAAAGCTACTCATCATCGACTGCAGACTGAGGCAGCCGCTGCTGGTGGAGCTGCCACTGCTCCCTACCACCCCACCCCTCCCCTGCTGCCATGGCAGCGGAACGCGAGCGCACAGGGCCCACAGTGTCTGAGGATGGACGTTGGCGCAGAAAGGCAGAGACCAACTGACTACATACATAGTGGTTTTTATAGTACGTTATTTTGGCCTCCCTCTCAGCAGGTGTGAAAAAGGCCACCATTTTTGAACGGTAGCGAGGGTCCAACAAGGTGGACAGCCAAAAGTCATCCCTCTGTCTGATGGTTATTATTCGGCTGTCGCTACGCAAGCAACCGAGCATGCTATGGGCCATTTGTGCCAAGGAATGCGAGGGACTCCCTGCCTCCATCTCCACAGCATACTGCCACGGTGCGTCTGGGTCCTCTGTCCTCCTCCTCCTCCTCCTCTACCAGATGCTCCTGCTCCTCCACTCCTGTCCGCTGAGTGGAAAAACCACCCATTTCACTCAATAATTCCTGAGCACAATGTCCTCCTCTACCTCCTCCTCTTCTTCCTGTCCTGCCCCCACACAGGGGTCATGTGGCGTTGAGATCTGTGCGCCACGTCTACCGCACCCTGACCAGCCATTGTTAACAGCATTTGTTCCAGGACGTGCAACAGAGGAATGACGTCGTTCATCCCATAGTCCTGCCGACTCACGAATAGCGTGGCCTCCTCAAAGGGCCTGAGCAAGCGGCAGGTGTCACGCATGAGCTGCCAATGGCTGACATCGAAGTTACACAGGGGAGTACCTTTATCCGCTTGTAACATCAGGAAATCGGTGATGGCCTTTCGCTGTTCGTAAAGGCGGTCTAACATGTGTAGGGTTGAATTCCACCTTGTTGCAACGTCGCAGATCAGGCGATGCTGTGGAATTCCGTTCTGCCGCTGCAGCTCAAGGAGGGTGTGCTTTGCGGTGTAGGAATGGCTGAAATGCATGCAAAGTTTACGTGACATTTTAAGGATGTCTTGCAGTGGGATGGTGGATTTTAGGAACCGCTTGACAACCAGATTGAACACGTGAGCCATGCATGGCGCATGGCACAACCTTCCTTGACGCAGAGCAGACACCATGTTCTTTCCGTTGTCGGTCAACATGGTTCCGATTTTCAGTTTGCGCGGAGACAGCCATCTGTCGATTTCTCTGTTCATTACACTCAGAAGTTCCTCCCCTGTGTGACTACGTTCGCCAAGGCATACCAGGTGCAGCACAGCGTGACACCGTTGCGCCCTGCACATGTGATATGCCGGTCGGGTAATGGGACTTGGCACGGGGGTGGCGGCTGAGGACACGGCGGAAGAAGAGGTGGTAGAGGCGACATCTTTTGTGGACCAAGGACGTGCAAACGTGGAGGCAAAAGCGGCGTGACCTGTCCAAGTTGCTGGTGCGGCTGTGCCGGCACCACGTTCACCCCAGTGGGCCGTAAATGACATGTACTGTCCCTGACCGTAGTTACAGCTCCACACGTCGGCGCTGCCGTGCACTTTGGCAGAGACCGACATGCTCAAAGACTGGCCCACCATCTCTTCTACATGTGAAGCAGCAGGGCTGGCACTGCCTTTTTGGCGAAGAAATGACGGCTTGGCACTCTCCACCGCGGCGCGGCACAAGCCATCATTTCTCGGAAAAGGTGCTGAGTCCACCACTTGGAAAGGGAGGGACTGCAGCACCAGCAACTTGGACAGGAGGACGTTCAGCTTTTGCACCGTCGGGTGCGTGCTCGCAAACTGTTGTCTCTTGGAAACGGATTCCAAGAAAGACTGCTGACGGAATCCGTGAAGAGGAGTAGCAGGAGAAGGAGCATCTGAACGAGCGGAAGATGCCAACGAGCGACAACTCCCCTCAGCAGAGGTGTTGGAGCCTTGACTGGCTGATAGAGGGCGATTGATTGACGTCGGGTGACGGAGCAAGTAACGGAGCGGGTGATGGAGCGGGGGCTGGGGCAGGCAGAACCGCCGTATCTTTATCACGGTTTTCCCAGGCCACCAAATGGCGACGCTGCATATGCTGCCGCAACGCTGTAGTCCCAACATGGGCCCCTGGCCACGCTTGACTTTCTGGCCACATAGTCGACATACGGCTACGTTTACTTCCTCTCGGCGGCTTGACGAAAAATTGCCACACCCGCCGAGTAGGAAACTTTGCCCCCGATACTCCTCACTGGCTGACTGCTACTTCCTCCGTGCACACCGGCACCACTACACCACTACTGGCCGTGGTGGTAGGCTGCAGTGGAGCTGGTGCTCTACTCCGTGGCCGTTTGCCTCCACTGACACTGCTGCGACCCTGCTGCCTCCTGGGCAACCCACCGACTGTTTTGCTCGCTGCCAAGCTGCCACCCTCTTCTCCTGATGATGCGGAAGCAATAGCCTGATGACGACGAGGCTGCCAAGTGCGATCAGCCTCATCATCATCAATTAGGGTCTCCGCCTCACTACTAGCCCCCTCGGCTGCGTGTGGGTCAGGAGACAGACCTGTCTCTAGACCGGCTACCGAGCCACTCTCCTCGCCACTACTTTCTCGCCTGGCTGCTGAAGAGGCGGATGTCTCCCCCCCCGTTCCTGACCGCCCTCTGTTAGCTCTTCCTCACTGTACAGTGGGGCTGAGCCCACAGCATGCGATACTTCGCTTGGTGAGGGAACACCAAAGGACAGGGGGCAGGTAGAGGACACGTGATTTCAGTGGGCTTGCTCCCGGGCCATGCCAACTAACGGTTGTGTCTGACGTACCCACCGACCGTTGGCTGTAGGTGTCAGAGGTGACCTGGGAAGAGGAAGACGACCGAGCCAACCAATCGATGACGGCAGGGTTGTCGGTGGAGACACGACCGCTGGATGACACCGGGAGCACTGGCTCTGGCTGCGACTAGTGCTGCCTCGACCCCTTCCTCTGCTGCCACGTCTGCTCGCTCCTAAAACATTGCCTCCTCTGCCACTCCTCTGCATGTGTCTGACATACTCTTTAATTCAAAACGATTCTGTGTCCCTGAGTAACAATTCTGTGTCCCTGAGTAACAATTCTGTGTGTGTCCCTGAGTAACAATTCTGTGTCCCTCTCAGTAACAATTCTGTGTCCCTCAGTAACAATTCTGTGTCCCTCAGTAACAATTCTGTGTCCCTCAGTAACAATTCTGTGTCCCTGAGTAACAATTGTGTGTCCCTGAGTAACAATTCTGTGTCCCTCAGTAACAATTCTGTGTCCCTCAGTAACAATTCTGTGTCCTCAGTAACAATTCTGTCTGTCCCTGAGTAACAATTCTGTGTCCCCTCAGTAACAATTCTGTGTCCCTCCCTGAGTAACAATTCTGTGTCCCTGAGTAACAATTCTGTGTCCCTCAGTAACAATTCTGTGTCCCTCAGTAACAATTCTGTGTCCCTGAGTAACAATTCTGTGTCCCTCAGTAACAATTCTGTGTCCCTCCCTGAGTAACAATTCTGTGTCCCTCAGTAACAATTCTGTGTCCCCTGAGTAACAATTCCCTGAGTAACAATTCTGTCCCTGAGTAACAATTCTGTGTCCCTCAGTAACAATTCTGTGTCTGTCCCTGAGTAACAATTTCTGTGTCTGTCCCTGAGTAACAATTCTGTGTCCCTCAGTAACAATTCTGTGTCCCTCAGTAACAATTCTGTGTCCCTCAGTAACAATTCTGTGTCCCTCAGTAACAATTCTGTGTCCCCTGAGTAACAATTCTGTGTCCCTGAGTAACAATTCTGTGTCCCTGAGTAACAATTCTGTGTCCCTGAGTAACAATTCTGTGTCCCCCTGAGTAACAATTCTGTGTCCCTCAGTAACAATTCTGTGTCCCTGAGT